GGGGGGGGGGGGGGGGGGGGAGATTTGTACTTTCAGACTTGCAAGTTTCTGTTAATGTAACCTTACAATAAAATAGAATTAGCTTATCTGGTCGTGTTTCCTGTCTGGTCTAGCTTGTAAGGCTGACAAGCATTTGGCAGATAGCTTTCCTGACGTTGCATGACAGCTCTAAGCACGTGCAAAGAGGCTCCCACCATGAATATGGAGTAACGCAGCCTGGATGCACCAGCCCCCCCCCACTGGCCAAACAAACCTGTGGGCTAGCAAGATCCGTTGCAGGACCGCGTCTCCTACTGTGTTGAGAACCGAGCGTCCATCTGTGCAGCTGATGAAGAACTGGTTCTACGGGAGGGAAAGGCACCTGGGCCAATGTCCAAACCTGCCCCTTGGCAAAGGAGAAAGTGGGGGTGGGGGTCTCCCCTCCCTGCTCTTGCCATCCTTTTCAGGGCTTCGGTCCCATCCTGTGAAGAACCCACCCCTGGTAGAGTTCATCACCAGGCTGTCCTTTGGCCGTCTGGCTGTCCCGCCCTCAGACTCTATCCCTACCTCGATGTACAGGTAATGCTGGCTAGTCCTGATGACGCTCAGGTAGGCGTTGTAGATCGAACATTCATGGAGGCCGGCTGACCAACGGTCCACCGAGCGCAGCACCTGAGGGCACAGCCAGAGTTCTTTCAGGTCGAAAGGGCTGTAGCTGGACGCCAAAACGCCCCTCCCGGCCAGACAGCCCCACTGCACCCCACCTCGCTGGGAGCCCTTTTATATTCTAAGGTCATGGGCTCCTCTGTGCTTTTTGAACGCCAAAAGGCAAAAGAATAGTGAGAAACGTGCAAAAGTTGGGGGAACCCTCAGCCCATTCACCTGGGCCCCCGGCATGCTGTCTCTTGTTCCCAATGCCATCCTCAGCCCTCTTGAAAGCCCCAACACTCCCCCCTTTCTGACTGCCAGCGTGCCTCTGCTCCCTGCTCTCTCACCTGGACGTTGGCAACCTGGGCACCGGGCATGAGAAATGGGAGCCTCGGGGGTACGTGGGGGGACTTGGGCAGCAGGTAGGGGTATTCAGAGCCTTTGTACTTGGCCTTGATTGTCTGAGGAGGAGAAATGAGGGAGTCAACGTTCCCTGGAGCCCCTGGTCAGCGAAAGTCACTTTTCTTGGCTGCTTATTAAGAAGCAAAAAACACTAATGGTGAAAATACAATGGCGCAACTGCTCACACATGCATCCCAACTGATTTCTGTAATATTTATATATCACTCTCTGAATATTGACAAGCCGTATAATGTATATCAACAGTTATCAATAAAAAGACTCTATGTAGACTACAAAATTAAAGAAGTAGGAAGCATTCATAAACCGTGCAACCAACTTTGACTGTCGCTACCCTCACATGAAAGCGGTATTTGTTTATTCAAGTTCCCACAGCTGGAAGAAAAATGCAAGGATGCCTCCGCCCCCCAGCCCCACCCCAGCCAACCTTGCCCCGCCTGCGGGAAGACGAGCAGGGAGCGGAGAGCTCTGCAGCCAGACACCGAAGGAGGTGACTTCCTGGCCTGAGCCTTCAGCTGCAGCCCCCCTCCCGCCCCACCTAGGGAAAGGCGCAGGGAGTCAGTGCCTTGCACAGACCCAAACCGGGCTGCTGGGGTTGCACCGAGGGTCCTGGGCAATAGGCCACACCTTGGTGACTTGGAGAGACAAAATGCAGGTGGTGCCCTCCCTCCCACCAATCTCCCTGTGATCAGCCTGGTGGTAGGCCATTGGTGGCCTCCCCTGGAAGCTGGAAGGGGGGGGAGGTTGGAGACCCAAAGAGGGGAGAGCCCACCAACCAGCGGCCGCTGCCGACGCAGCTACTAGTTCCCTGATCGACAGGCTGACCGCTGCTCTACCCGAGCACTGCTATTCCTGGCTGCTCAGGAAGGGACCATCAGAGCCAGGGCGGGGGGCAGTCCAGGCCGGCCCTCGCCCAGACAGGTAAGCGGAAGGTGGGTGCAGAAGCCTGACCGGGACGGGGGCTGGGAAGGCTCCAAGCCAGCAGGCCTTCAAGGGAGGCGCCGTCGCCGTGACCTGCAAGGGGTGCGCAGCCTTGGCCTCCCTGCCCGAGGGCACCTGCTGCAAGCGTGCGCGGGTGCGTGCCTCCCTGGGGGAACAAGCGGAGGGGCCCGAGGAGAGAGCTGCTCTGCTGAAATGCCTCAGGGAAGAGGAGAATCCCCACAGCTCTCCCCAGGAGGCAGAGACAAACAAAGAGAACGCCAAGGGGCAGGGACAACGCCCACTGCCAGAGGGAATGGTGGCCCAAGAAGCAAGAGGATTGGGGGGGGCACTTGTGCCAGCGGTGCCCCGGAGGCAGGACCAGGCTCTCGCTTTAGAGGACAGCCAGGGAATCCCTGTGAAGGGGAAACCAAGCAGCTGTGCGCGGACCCGATGCAAGGCTGCGGGAGGCGCGCGGCCTTCCTGTTCTTGTATTTGCAAGAGAGGATTCCAGCCGCCCCTTCCTTTCCTCTTGATCCGTGCTGGGAGAAAAGAAAGCCCAGAAAAGACCGTGAAAGAATCTCTGCAGGCCATGAAACCTTGAAGGAACCGGCGCGTGGCCATTGCTGCCTCCAACCTTCCCGTTGAGGATCAGGTGCAGGAAGAGAAAGCAGGATCCTGGAAGCCAGCAAGCTCTGGAAGGGTCTGGATTCCGTGGCAAGGGCCAGGCTGCCATCCCGAGGAATCCCTGGGAGGAGATGGGTCGCCCTGGCAAGGAGGGGAAAGTCTTTGCCAGGCACCTCCTCTCCATTCTCAAACTAGAGCGAAAGGGGAGCATCGCAAAAGGCCTGATCCAAACGGGCAGCCACGGACAGGCGCCCAAACTGGGGACGGAAGAATTCCACCAGGAGCTGCGGTGGAGAGGCCAGTAGGAGGCGCCACTTGATGCCCATGTCAAACTGCAGCTTACGGGAAATCAAGAGAGAGATCCTGACGCAGGATGATGCCCCTGGAAGGCTGCGACCTATTTGTAAGGAACAGACGCAGCAGAAAGGGTAGAGGCATTGCCCGGTGGGTAAAGAAGAACTGTATCTGCTCGAAATTCAGGAATCGGAGCGTGGAAACTCCATTGAAAGTGTACGAGAGAGAAAAGGAAGTGATGGCCTTTGGGAATTTATTCTAGTCCACCTGGACAGGCAGATGATAACCAATGAGGAATTCCTGGGTCAGATGGCCAGTCTTTCAATGCGCCAGGCAGTAGCGACAGTGGAGGATTTCAACTATCCTGATATCCGTATGGGAATACATCTCTATCAAGAAAAAGAGGTCCAGTAAATTCTCACCCTCTCGCTGGCAACTTATTGGTCGAAGAGTGGAAGAAAGAACAAAGGGGCCAGATCTGATCTTCTCCATCCAGGAGGATCTGGGTAAGAAGTGAAGGGGACTGGCATCTCAGGGAAAAGCGATCGCGTCGTTGTTGAATTCATGACAACCCAGGGGAAGGAGGAACTGAAAAGAGTCAGAGTGTATGCTGAATGTCAGAACGCGTTGGGATGAACTGGGAGGGAGTGGCTTGAAATCCTTAAGGAGAAAAGCGTCCAGGAAGGATGGAAAATTCTGCAAACCAAGATCCTGAAGGTGCAAGTCCCAAACCACCCGCTCAAGAAGGAAAATGGGAGAACCCTAATGCTGCCTCTAGAACACGGAAGAGAAAAAGGAATGTGCGTAGAAAATGGAGGACGGGGAAGACGAGGTGGTCTCCAGGCAGGGGAAGAATTCTACCAGAAGGGCTAAGGCTCAGAATGAGCTGAGGCTTGCGAGAGACAGCAAAAACGGATTTTGTTTAAAGGGTTCTTCAGATCCCCCCAAAATAGAAGGAAAGCCAGGAGGCTGCCAGTCTGCCCCAAGGAGAAAGCGATGATGGGGAGAAAGCAGAACTGCTTTCCCGAAGGAACTGGTCATCCGTGCACGAGGACGGTCACAGGTGCTCCTCCCTGCTCCTCTGCCCTGGTCAGGCCCTACTTGGAGACCCCCAGGGCAGGAGGGAGCGCGTGCAGAGGAGGGCACCGAGGCGCTGAAGGGCCTGGGAACCGAACCCCCAAGGAACCGCCTGGCCTGCAGAAGAGACGACTCCCCCACCGGTCGTTATCATCAAGTGATGATACTTTTATTGTTATCTGGCATTAGTTGCTTATCTTTTGCTTTTTGCTAACTGCCTCCAAAACAGCTGGAAAAGACTATCCTGTTGAGTTTTACAGTTGAACTGCTACTGTGGCTTCTGGGGAGGAACCAAACCCAGATCTGCCCATCAGGCAAGCTGACCTTCCCTGCCTGCCACCCACCTTGGTGAAGTTCCAGCGCTGGACGAAATGCCGGGCCACGTCCCGCGCGGCCACACCGTGAACAGCCACCCCCACGTCCCGCCACGGCATCCGAGGGGTCTGGAACCTGTCAATGAAATCTGGCCCAGCCGAGGGGCGCAGGGTCACCGCACAGCACCAAGGGTGGGGGCAGCAGATTCCCCCAGCACAGGCCAGCCTCACCCTGAAAGGTAACGCCCGGGCACAGCGGGACTGCCTGTCCTCCGGACACGAGGACAGGACCTCCTCGGGGGTCCACCTCCCCCTTCTCCCCATCCCATCCTTCCATCGGAGGCCTGCCAACGGCAGCGGGACGAAGGCCAGAGGCTGGCTTGGGCTAAGCCCTGGGAGGGAGGAGCTGCTTCTAGCCACAAAGCGAGCCAGGCATGGGCTCTCCTTCACTGGAGACCCTTGAAGGAGCAGCTGGACAGCCACTGGCTGGGGAGGCTCAGGCAGCCTCCTCTAGAGGCGGAGGGGGCCAGCTAGAAAATCCGCAGGGTCCCCTTCCGTGCACGAGTCAGAAAGCGGCATCGGTGAGGGTATGTTTCCCACTCCAGCTCTCAGGCAAAGCGAATTCCAGCAGGTCCCAGGAGCCGGGAAGGCTGCGTCGCCCACCCCAGCCCGCCCTGCTGCCCTGAGCCTCTGCGTGCCCAGCCTTGTCCCTCCCCGCTCACCTTCAAAGGGCTTGTCCAGCCGCACCCAGTCCTTGGCGATGAGGTTGCTGTAGTCCTTGCCCAGCCAGAGCAGCTGGTTTGTGGCCAAGTCCACGGGGGCCTCCTCGCCCGGCCCTGTGGGGGCGCCCCCGCCCTGAGTGAGAGAGACGGTCAGGGAGAGGTGTGACGGCCAAGGGAGGGGTCTAGGGCCAGCAGCGGGGGGGAGAAAGAGAGCAGTCAGAACAGGACAGAGGAGGGGAGACCACCCCAGGATCAGCCCCCGAGAGATGCTGGCTGCTCCCTACCTGCGGGTGGCCATGTCTGGGCACTGCTGTGAGGTTATAGGAGGTCGTTACAGGTGTGAGCAGGGGCTGACCGTCAAGCGAAAGGGCAGCTGAGCTGCAGAGGAAGAGGAAGAGGAAGAGGAAGAGGAAGAGGAAGAGGAAGAGGAAGAGGAAGA